TCGCGAACGGAAGCAAAATTTTGCGAATGGTGCTGGTCGCGAACCGAATTGTGCGTGAACAGAAGCATTCGTGAACCGAGGTACCACTGTACCTATTTTAGTACTCTAAGAACCCTCCATATGAGTCTGAAGTATCTTCCCTGCTTCCATTAGTGTGGTCACCACCCTGAGATCCCTTGTGGGCCTCCGTGGAAAAAAAGAGAGAGAGAGAAAAGTGGTTCTCCAGCTCAAAATGTTGCCTATCTCCACAGGAAGGTCCTTAGCACATTATGTTCAAAATTCCTTTCCACGAGTCCATGTCAAGTGCAGCAGAGTCCAGTCTTCTTCCGTCTCTTTCCAGATTCTGCGTCTGTTCCTTGGTAGCTACAAACTGAGCTGAATCATCATGCAGCAGTATATCTGACAATCCTACTCTCGCTACTCATTAATGAAATATATCTGGTTTTCTGTTTGATTTTTGTAGGACCCTTTATCAAGGGAAGGACCCCTGAGGAGATGTGTGGGCACCTGAAGCACCTTGATCTTCAAAGATATTTTTCTCTGGCAAAAGTTGCAGACACACATACCTAGATCTACAGAGAAATAGCCAGAAGGCATCTCTCTATTAAAGGAGCTTATAGCTTCAGCCTTCGTTTCAGCTAAGGTTACTTGCTAAGCTATAATAACTGGACCAAATCTGTTTATTTCTCTTCAGGTTGCTACCCCACCTTCTTTGCCAAATCCTGACATATAATTCTTTTCTGGCATTCAAGGTGCCAAAAAGGTGAATGCATAAGCTGTAGTTTGGGCCGCTGATCCCATGTCTCACACAGCCTCTTGTTTAATCATCCACACACTGATTCAGGGACAGGGGTGTCTTCAGGACGGATGTCAGTTCTTTGAATTAGGCCAGGTCAGGAAACAACTACTGGAACTCTTCTTTATTGTTACAAGGTATAATAATAGACTCTTGAACGCCTGACAGTTTCTCTCTCCCTCCCTTTTATACCAAAGGGAATCAAGGCAGGGCAACCTTGAGTTTCTTCTTGACCCTCTCCTGTCTTTCTAGCTAAACTGATGTTTTCATACCTTCTTCAAGGTAACCAATTATGTGGTTGTGGTCACATCTTGACTTTTTTGACAACCCCCCCCCCCCCAACACTCCTGTTCAGGGAGATCTTTGGTATGAAAGCTTGTCAGTCAATGCAAGTTTTGAAAACAGTTCAGAACAATGGAGCAGCCTGACTTATTTCAGGAACTGACTCGTTACAGTGAATGAGACTCTTAATGAAGCATTAGCTTTTTTTTTAAACACTTCAAGTGAGCTTGGAGTACAATAGATTAAGTTTGAGACTATAATCAGCCCCATTTAGCATAGATGGCTAATCTCAGCTAGGTATTTCAGAACAACTCACCATCTACCCCTTTAGGCTCCTTAAACTGAGCAACCATCAGTACCATGTGTTTGTCCACAATTAGAGAGTATTTATTGCTTTATGGCCTGTTGGCAAGTATCCATCACAACTCTGAGAGTGAACAGTGCATTTTGACCTTGAAACCATGAGTAGCATAATGATTTTATGTTTCATATAAATGTTTAGATTGGAGTAAGTAATTTGCCCACTTGGACAGCTTGCCATCCATTTCTTTTGGAGGAGAACTGATAGACCAGGACCATCCGTAGGAAGACATGATTTCATCAAAATGATGAAATATGCATTGTGACATGACACAAGCTCTGCCCCTTATGTATTTGCATGCAACTTCATGATAGAAGTACAAAAGTGGCGGAGTTTCCCTTTCAACATACATTTTATTATTTGCTCCCCGACACCGAACCTGTCTCTAGACACCCATACAATAAACTGTGGTACCTAAACTCCATAATGGCTAAAAATCATTTCCACTCTGAGCTCCCACATCTATCTTAAGTAATTGCCATAAAGATGGTAGCAAGATGAAAAAATGCACATGTAATACATTCAACTTTTAGAGAAATTAGTCTGCAGACACTAATAATTAATTAACTGCATTAATCAATTCAGTCTACAGCTTCTTCCCTTCATATCCATCATTCCATACACCTCTATAGCACAGCTGTAAACTTCGGGCAGTGGTGGTTCTGTTAGAACAATCTGATAGTCCAGTAACATTTTGTTGGGATGCTATTTAAAAAAAAAAAAGCTGATGAACCAGTTGAGATGCTGTTGCAAAAAATTCTGAGAAATGATGTCAACCACACCAGTAATAAATTCCAGAGGTATAGAAACATTAGTCAATTGCAACAAAAATAGACATGATTCCTGTATACCTTAAAGACTAGCATTTATTTCTCTCTATATACAGTAGTCCTCAATTAATGGCCATAATTGGGACCAGCAACTCCATTGCTAAGTGATGTGACTGTAAAGTGAAAAATCACTTGACCGCACCAGCTTACAATGGCAGTTCCGGTTGCAATCATTAAGCAAATCACATGCAGTCGTTAAGCACGACTATGACTTGTGACTTCCTGCTGGCCTACCCATTGACTTTGCTTGTTGGAAGCTGGCAGTGAAGGTCACAAATGGCAATCATGTGACTGTGGGACACTGCAACTGTTGTAATTGTACACCAGTTGCCAAGCATGTGAATTGCGATCACATGGTCACAGGTGTGCTGTGACAACTGCAGGTTTGAGGACTGGGTATAAGTCTCCTCATTCAGCACCGTCATAACTTCAAACAATCGCTAAACAAGTCACTAAATGAGGACTACCTGCATGTGTCATGGAGAGCCAGTTTGGTGTAGTGGTTAAGGCATCAGGCTAGAAACTGAGAGACTGTGAGTTCTAGTTCTGCCTAGGCACAAAGCCAGCTGGGTGACCTTGGGCCAGTCACTCTCTTTCAGCCCTAGGAAGGAGACAGTGGCAAACCACTTGCCAAAAAAACTGCAGGGATTTGTCCAGGGAGTCACCAGGAGTCAAAAACTCACTCAAAGGCACTAGTGTGTGTGTGTGTGTGTGAGATTTGTAAGCCTTTGTAAGCTAGAGGCCATTGTATTCATATTTGATACGAATTTATGGAATACATGTTACCAAAGAGACTTTATGTATCTTGAATATATAACTGGAAACTACAGTACATCAGAGCAATTTATTCCAGCTCTAATCCTAGATAATAATAGGGATGTAGCAACTTCTAGGGGAAAAGTCTGCATTAGAACCAGTCATAACATTGACCTGCTGAGTTGTGATAGGACCTAGGTCAATTTTCAAATTGTGTACAGTAGTACCTCGCGGTACGAACGCCTCTACTAATGAACTTTTCGGGTTACGACCAGCTCCGGCCGCAAAAATTTACCTCGATGTGCGAATCCCGCCTCGGGTTCCGTTCATTTTCCCGCCCTGCCACGTGGTCTGCGGCCTTTTTCCCGCCACGCCACACAGCGCCTGGCTGTTTTCCCGCTGTGCCGTGCGGCGCCTGGCCGTTTTCCCACCCCTGACACGTGGTCCGCGGACGCCAGAACGGATTAACGGTAATTACATT